TTGGGGAAAGTAGATGAGACCAACAGGGACAGTGATTGATGTCTTTTTTTCTTCTTAACGTGATAGTGGGGATCGAGTCCAAGACCTCCTATCTGCTATCTAAGCACTGAGCTCCAGCCCCATCCTCTCTGAAGTCTAATATGTTGTAGGGATAAGTCCCGCCCCTTAGGGGGTGTGTTCGCCTCGGGCTAATGTTTACCTATAAATCTGGCAAGCTTGCTCACCTCACTCACTTCTGCTTTCCTGGTCTCCGCGGGAACGGTGGTTCTGTAAGTCTATTTCTCCATTAAAGCTATATATATATATTTACAATCTGTCTGCATTCGTTTACGCCGTTACAATACGTATTGTGTTTTATGCGGGCTTGTGCTGACATCAGCTATTCCTGAACTCTGAGGAATCTCCCTTCCCACACGTCTCTTCCTGTGTGCAGACCTGTCATTGTTACCTTTCTCTGCCTAGTTCATGAATCTCAGTGACCACTAGCCTAATACGCTTTCCAGCTGCCTCTTATTATTAGCGCTACTATAAAAGTGAAAGTATCTTCAAAATAATTCCTGCAACAACTAACTTCGTGTCCTATTATAATTCAAAAAGGTACTCACCATGGAGAATTACACTTTCTTGATGAGAGCCTCATGTTCCTTTCCAATGCTATCATTATATCACAGGAAAACAACCTCACCATTCCTGGTGTCAGAGAAAGCAAGATTGGAGATGAGGAAGGGCAGGGAGGGCCCCATCCATCATCCAGCACAGGCAGAGAGATTGCTCTGCCCTTCCCACACTGATCCTCCCTCTGTTGGGGGAGGGGGCTGTTCACTGGTCTTGGCCACCCAGCCACAAAATAATCGCACAGAAACTGTATTATTTGCAATGCTGTTTGGCCAATAGCTTAAGCATATTTCTGGCTAATTCATATCGTAAACTAGCCCATCTCTATTAATCTGTGTATCTCCACATGGCAGTGGCTTACTGCCACTCACTTCGTCATGTCTAACTCTGGCGGTGGCCCCATGGCATCTCTCTTACTCTGCCCTTCTTCCTCCCAGCATTCAGTTCAGTTTTCCCTATCTACTTAAGTTCTGCCCTATCAACAGGCCACGGCAGTTTCTTTATTCATTAATGGTAATCACAACACACAGAGGGGACTCCCACATCATCCCTCTTTCCTCATCTCCCCACTTCTCCTCCTCTTCTGCACCACGAATACTTCATCTTTCCTACACTACCTTTACAGGGGGCTAAGAGTGATTCTTTATTGCTCCCAACCGCCACCAAGCAGCAGTCCTCCTGGATCAGTCTGTGCACCCCTTACAAGGTTTTTATGGACCTGGAGAAAAGCCCCAGAGGTCTAGAGCACTTGCTGCTCTTGCAAAGGATCCAAGTTCAGTTTCTAGCACCCATATGGCAGTTCCTAATTGTCCTTAACTCCAGTTCTAGGGAATCTAATGTCTCCTTAGCATGGGGCATGCATGTGATGGATATACACGCATGCAGGCAAAATAGGTATACACATAAAATAAAATAAAACTTTAAAAATAAAAAAGTCAACCACTGTGATGAGATGAGCATAGGACACAGAAAGACTCTCATGGCTACCCAGGCATCAGCCCTCCTCTGGTGGTGAAACCTGTTCTATTATTTCCTCCATAGAAACAGCCAATGCCTGCTGCTGTGGTTTCTCTTCCTGTTGCTGTAATGGTAACATGTAAAATTACCCTGACAAAAGTATCTTAAGGGGTAAAGGGTTTGTTTCATCTAACTGCTCCATCATAGAGGGAAAGTCACACTTGCAGGGGCTTAAGAGAGCTGTTCACATTGTATCCACCAGGAAATGGCAACAATCCATGCAAGGATGCTTCTTCTCAGTTCCCCTATTCACTTATTCAGTCCAGGATCCCAGTAAGAACACAGTGCCACCCCAACTAATGTATGACAGCCCCCCAAGAGGCCCATCTCCCATGTGTCTCTGGGTTCTGTCAGATTGACAGTTAATACCTGGGGAGACCTCTGACTTGCCTTGGGAATGGACTGCACCCCAGAACAGAACTCAGAAGTGACTACCACCGAACACTTTACTAAAATGTATCCTGCATTTGATGATGCTGCCAAGGGTTGTCTTCCCTGCATCAATGGTTACAGACCTCCAGGTGTGCCCTGGGAGCTAAGAAGCTCACTAATACTCCAAGAGATGTAGCTTCTTTGTACCCTCCACAAACAAAAACCTACCTGCCTCTCTATCACTGGCCAAAATAATGACCTTCATTTGATGTGGAAGAAAATGCAGGATAATGATGCAAGATGAAAATGGCAAAGCACAATAAGCTTTCTCTTAATGATTCCCTTTGAAATCGCCTATTTCCCATCCTAACTATAATTTGACTAATTGCTCAATAATCCTGTTTAAAAGTCATTATTTCTGAAAACATCAATTCATTATTAGACCTGGGTTTTTTTTTCAGGTTGAAAAGTCCCTCTGCTTCTTTGAGTCACCCCTGTCTCTTCTTCCTGTGTGTCTGCTGCCTGAGCCACGTTCTAATGGCACAAATAGAATCCCTTCAGAAAGGTGTCAAGCAAATCAAGGTGTCTCTTTGTGTTCCGCAGCCTGAGTAATGTAATCCATGTCCTTGACACAGTGCCTGTGACTGGGAAGATCTAAGACCATGTCTTTTAAAAGCCAGCTTCTGTGCTGTACCCATGAAGCTGTGATCACAGCCACCCTAGGCCCCTCCCACATCAAGAGGCACGCTGTGCCTAACATCATGAGAGGCTGCATCAGAAAAGAGAGCATGGACTTGGGAGTCCACAATTGCCTAGAAAAAAAACAAAACAGGGGGCTGGAGAGATGGCTCAGTGGCTAAGAGCATTGCCTGCTCTTCCAAAGGTCCCGAGTTCAATTCTCAGCAACAACATGGTGGCTCACAACCATCTGTAATGGGGTCTGGTGTCCTCTTCTGGCCTGCAGACATACACACAGACAGAATATTGTATACATAATACATAAATATTAAAAAAAACAAGACTCAAACCCTGCTCGAAGCAGTGGTCTTCTTAGGCATCACAGTGTAGGCACAGACCCTGTACGGTTTTATTAATGTTGAACAAGATAGCCATGTCTGTTTCAGGGCGCAAGTTGGCTTCCTGAGACACAGCTTGCAGTTCACCTGTTCTGATATGTTCTCCATTTTCCTTTCCTTCTATAGTACACCAGCTGAAAATTTACAGTTCCTTTTCATTTCATGTGAAGGACGGGTTCTAGCGTCCAACTTTAAAAAGTCAAGTCTCTTTGCTCATATGCCAAAAAATGAGCCAGCACAGGAATCCCATGCTTTCTTACATTGCGAAAAACTTGGAGAACAGCCTAGATCTTCTATCCTGAAAACTTCCTTGGACCAGTGATATGTAAAATAACAATGAGAAAAGAATCAAGAAGATGACCGCATACAAAGTTTGGGTGTTGGGAGTCTGTAAAACCAGAGACACTGAAGAGGGAGGAACTGAATATCCTTGGAACACATGAAACAGACAGCTCATTACTGGGGGATCCTCGCTATTTCCATTGGGTGTTTTACAAGACCTAGTTTTGAAGGGCAAATATGCAAGCACACCACTGGGAGGTGGGGGAATGGGGATCACTTAAAAAGTGAAAGACGAATCATACACCAGGACTGCCAAACTAGCACTGGTTCTGTGAGTTATGGGAGTCTATCTGCTTACCCCAGCTAGGCAGAGAATGACAAACTAAAGAAATGCTTCCCCCCAAGTTTAGCTCAGCGAGCCAGTTTGACTGAAGCACATCAATGTACCAATTGCTACAACCTATGGATCTTCTCTCCCTCCCCTAAACAGTGCATCCTGGTGACTCCTCCCTTCCTCCTGTGAGGGAATGTTACTGAGCCCAGTCTTTTATGAGGGTGACCACGGTTGTTCTGAATTCTACACAGCCATGCCACGCTCATAGGTCAAAGATCCACACCATGGCTGCCAGGGGTGGTGAGTAGAGTCACACTTCATCAAGGTCATTCAAGGGCATTTTGCTTGAAAGTTTCCTTTAATCTAAGACGACACCTCCCTCTCAGAGCCCCTTTCTTTCTCTTTGGTCTGCACACCCTGCCAAGTCAGGTGAATGCCGGTTAGGTGGCTCCCAGAGCGTGGAGACAGAGGCTACCCTCCTGTCTGCCTGGACCAGCAAGAGGTGCTCATTGCCTCTGCAGGCACCTTTCAGCAGTTCTCTGAAAAGCACGGGATTCAAGCAACTGAACATGCAGAAACCGCATCTCCTCTGTCCAGAGCACAGAACCTGAAGGTGTAGATAGAGCTCGAATTACTGGGTATGAACCAGGTTTTCAGGTTAATTGATCTATGTGTATACAATTGGTTTTCAGTTATCATTCCTCAGATCCCACTCTGAATTGCTCAGGGGTAATCAAGAATGTGAAGTAATGCCCTCAACGAACTCAAACAACACACAACTATTTCTCACCCCACACCATTCTTACTCTGTCCTCTCCTGAGTGGGTTTTCTTACTGAATACCTAAAATTCTCTGAGTCAGTTGGCTTTCTGTGTATTTTTATTCCTTAAGTCTCAACTGTGTTGCCTAAGGAAGCCAAAGACGCAGTTGGCAATGGTATCATTGTTTTGAATACTTAGAGGATCCTGGGTATGGACTAGGACTGTCCTGAGTGTTTTATGGGTGTCACTCAAGGGCATCCTCCCCTCACAAGGTAAGTGCTACCTTTTGCCAATAAGAAAATGAAAATACAGAAAGATAAAACAATTGTCTAAGGTCAAACAGCTAGCAAGGATCAGGGCCAACGAATGACTCCCGCGTCTGGTTCTCAGGATAGAGCCTTCTCTAGGTACAAACCTCTCCCCCATAATACGCGTGAATGGGATTCTGAACAGGAATGTTGCCTTTTGTCTTCAAGAAGATGGCGCTGAGCTCTTAACGTACTTTACTTTTAACTACTCTGTTTTTCCCTCCCACACTCTCAGATGACGGGAATGCTTAAAGCAAACTAAGGTAGTGTAAGACCACACCATGTAAGTGTGAGCATGGCTCCTTGTGGGTACAGCTATGTTTCGTGTGCTTCTGCCTTCCGCCCCGCATGTTCGCTCCGCTGTTCTCCAATTCCCGCTTCCGGCGCTTTGCACTCGGGCCGCATGAGCTGTTTTTAAAGCATAGATCCTGGGTCTTTGTTCCTGATTCTATACCTGGGCTTTACCCACACACACACAGTCCGGCACAGGGTAAGAACCAGAGAACACAGGACCGTCTGCCTGCTATCTTCCCAGCAAGCTGGGAGTTCCAGGGAATGCAGTGAGTTACTGTTTTCGGGCACTGAGTCTGGGATTGTAAGCTTGAAGAATAGAGGTGCTTATCCATACCTAACTGGAAAAGACCCCTCCAAGGCGGAGAACTACAAAGGCTTCTTTAGACAGGTCATGACCATCACCAAGTACTGGACCTGTCTGGTGTTTTCAGGGCCGGGAGTCTTAAATGAACTACCACTCTGTTCATGGGAGTTCATTGCACCAGGTAATAGGAGCTATGGAGAGAGGTTGGAGTCTTCTCGTTTATTTATTTCCTTTCTGTACATAGGCATATGATGTACAAATATGCACAATTGGAGGATAAAACATTATAAAAGATAAAAGATAATGGCTTTACAAGATAGGTATGAACTAACTCAGGCAGTCATTGTATACACATATACACAAACACTCACTACTCCTCGTGGGGTCTTTTGACCCTACACAAACCATGTCTGCACTCTGAATGAATTTAGTACAGCGCAAATTGAAATCTCTAGAAGAAGACAGTTGATGAGGGGAGATGGTTGTGCCTAACAGGAGTATATCTGGAACATTTCAAATACAGTTTTGGGGGCTGGAGAGATGGCACAGTGGTTAAGAACACTGGCTGCTCTTCCAAAGGTCCTGAGTTCAATTCCCAGCACCCACATGGTAGCTCACAACTGTCTGTAACTCCAGTTCCATGGGATACAATGCACATAAAAATTAAAATGAAAAAAATTTTTAAAAAGGCCAGGTGGTGGTGGTGGTGCATGCCTTTAATTCCAATACTCGGGAGGTGGAGGCAGGTGGATCTTTGTGAGTTCATGGTCTACAGAGCAATCTCCAGGACAGCCAGGGATACACAGAGAAACCCTGTCTCAAAGAACAAGAATAATTAATTAAACAAATAAGGTATAGCTCTGGGGCTGGGGATATAGTCCTGTGGTAAAGAGCTTGCCTAGCTTGAATGAGGTCCCAGGTTCAATCCCCAATACCCCAAATAAAATACAACCCTTACTTGTTCCCCACCACACACCTGCACACTGGCATGTATGCACATACCACACTCCTGCACACTTGCGTGTGTGCACATATCACACACCAGCACACTTGTGTGTGTGCACATACCACACAACAGCACACTTGTGTGTGCACATACCACACTCCTGCACACTTGTGTGTGTGCACATACTACACATCTGCACACTTATGTGTGTGCACATATCACACACCTGCACACTTGTGTGTGTGCACATACCACACTCCTACACACTTGTGTGTGCACATATCACACACCTGCACACTTGTGTGTGTGCACATACCACACTCCTGCACACTTGTGTGTGTGCACATATCACACCTGCACACTTGTGTGTATGCACATACCATACTCCTGCACACTTGTGTGTGCACATATCACACACCTGCACACTTGTGTGTGTGCACATACCACACTCCTGCACACTTGTGTGTGTGCACATATCACACCTGCACACTTGTGTGTATGCACATACCATACTCCTGCACACTTGTGTGTATGCACATACCATACTCCTGCACACTTGTGTGTACACATACCACACATCTGCACACTTGCATGTGTTGAAGTTATTGAGCTATAGATTCTGAAATGATAACAATTTTAAATTTTTTTCTTGACATCTGATCAAGTTTTTGCCCAGTGTTTGAGACTCAAAGTGTGCAGTACTGAGAACCCAACCCACCATTTAGACATGCAGAAAGCCCAAAGTTATTAGGGGTGGATCTTTTGCTCCCACCCCTTAGCTGTGTTTGTCCCAGATGGAGTGGAGGCAGATTAAAACCTCATCCTCCTCTTTCCACCAAAGCACCCTATCAGTCCAGGGTCAGAGCTCCTTTCTCCCTGGGCAGAGTGAGACACAGAGCTCCAGGACAACTCTAAAACTAAAAGCAGAGGAGTCTGCATCCCCAGAAGGGATCCCAGGTTCTTCCATGGCTATGTCGCTGGAGATCCACGTGCATTTTCCAAGCAAGTTACAGGGAAAGTCAGTTAGGCTGTGCAAATAGGGACAGCCTGCAAAAACAAGTGTTGCTTCTGTTGTTCACTGAAGAAAAGGCCGGAGGAGGAAAAAGTGCAAGAGAGAAGTTAGAGTGGGGTTTGCTTTGCCGGGTCCCCACACACTCACGTGGACATGCATGACTTAGGGCTAGCTGTCTGATGGCTGACATCTGGAAACAATTCAGGAAATGGGCAAATGAGCTGGTGTCCATTTCCCAGAATGCTGCTCATTAACTGAGCTTTGGACCCCCATAGGTGAAGGTCACAGACTCTCTTTTCCGATGTGTTGTTAAAGTAAGGAGGCCAGGAACTCTGCAATAAAGAATAACTGAAAAGTCAAAAGGACAACTACAGAGGAACCCGTTTCAATGTCCCCCTTAATTCTCAGCTACATCCATCCACGTACACACAGCTATGAAAATGCCAATGTCGGCTAGATACGCAATGCTTTCGCCACAGAGGTTGCTTTTCCAAGCCGAATGCACGTCACCTTTCGGTAAACTTTTTTTTAGAGGACAAAGAATCATCACTGAATTTAACAATTTGGCCTATTTTACTTTTTAACACAACTTTTCCAATAGTAGTCTATAGGAACCTTCCACGGATCCCGCAGCGATTCCAAGCTGACTGGGAGGAGAGGGCCAACTGAGGAACGGTGCTTACGTCTTAGGCTCAGAAGCCACTTGGTAAAATAGAGCAGAGAGAAACTGTGACCTAGGGAAACATTGCCAGGATGGGATTTGAGCTCCACGATTTTGGTCAAGAAAGGGCTTGGCATGGGATAAAACCGGACTTGCTGAACATAGCGGACAATGAGGACTACTGAGAACTCAAGAACAATGACAATGGGTTTTTGATCCTACTGCACGTACTGGCTTTGGGGAAGCCTAGGCAGTTTGGACGCTCACCTTACTAGACCTGGATGGAGGTGGGTGGTCCTTGGACTTCCCACAGGGCAGGGAACCCTGACTGCTCTTCGAGCTGATGAGGGAGGGGGACTTGATCGGGGGAGGGGGAGGGAAATGGGAGGCGGTGGCGGGGAGGAGGCAGAAATCTTTAATAAATAAATAAATTTAATAAAAAAAAGAAAGGGCTTGGAAGTAATCCATCTGGCAGGGAAGTGTGGAGGAATTCTTAAAGCTACATACATCTAGGCATTTTGCTTAAGACTGACAAATACAACTGTCATGTGGAGACCACAGCAACCAGAAATTGGAGAAATAAACTGTCAGCCTCTTCTCAGGTCCCATTAATGTCCATTACTCGTCTTCCACTTAGGAGAGCTATAACACTGTCAGGAAAAGAAAATGGCGCCTTCAGGAAGCCACACAAGGCCAGTCATTGCATTAAGGATGCTGAGTAGATGCCAGCTCTTTGCCCAATACTTCTTTTCCCAGGGGTAGGAAGGGGTAGGAGTATTTTGTTTTGTCTTGTTAGACTTTTTCCAAAATCTAGCCTAAGCATGGGAGGTCTAAGAAAATCACTGTCCTATTGAGACCTCAAGTGGCGAAATTGGGAACTGCAGTTGAAGAAAGAGAAAAGGAATGGGAATAAGAAAGGGAGAGAGGGAGGAAAGATGAGCTCCTTTGAGACCCTATCCCGACCCACAGTCTCACCTTGAAATTCTTACTAGATGGAAGAAAGGGGGCACTGTGCCTGAGACTTCTGAAATAGCAGCCAGGGCTTGGTGACCTTTCACCGTGTGAATATGACCAACCATCATTTCAGAAAGAGATCCTCCAAAAGCTAGCCACGCCACAGAGAACTCTGCCTACCTTAGTGTGTACAGTTACTCCAAAACAGTTCTGGAACCTACTGAGAAGGTCCTAGATTCGTCCAATCCTTTGCTTCTTTTTCCTAAAGGAAGCCTAAAACCAAACTGTGTCTTCAAGTGTCACAAGAGACCGCCCAGAGAACCTTGGGAACAGACAACACACTCAGACCTTCCCACCTGATCCTAGAGAGTCCGGCAGGCTGGCCTGATGCCCGAGGGCCAGTGACCTTGCACTACAGTCTCTTGTTCTTGCCCTTCCTTATAGACAGGTAGCAAATGTACCACCGCCACTGCCTTCAGCACAGCCGAGGAGACTAAATTGTTTTAGTTGTTCTCCAAATGCAGCCCCCAGACAAGCAACAGCATCATTCAGAAGCTATTGGAAAGGTAAATTATTGTGCTCCAGATCTAGGAATTAAACAAACATGCCGGAAGTCTGTCCCAGATGCTGTCCTAGTGACGGTGTGAAGCCGCTGCCACACACTGATTTGCAAAAGTCCAAGATAGAAGAGAGCAACTCTGTTTATTTCAAACATGATTTCTGGCCCCGCCCCCACAGAGACGCAGCTTGAAATCCGTTCTTTTTTTTTTTTTTTTAATGTATACAATATTCTGTCTGTGTGTATGCCTGAAGGCCAGAAGAGGGCACCAGACCTCATTACAGATGGCTGTGAGCCACCATGTGGTTGCTGAGAATTGAACTCAGGACCTTTGGAAGAGCAGGCGATGCTCTTAACCTCTGAGCCAGCGGCTCCAGCCCCTGAAATCCGTTCTTAACTAAGCTTCTGATGTGGTTCTGGCAAGAGCAATCCACAAGCCTCCACTTAGACAAACTTTGCTCTGGTCTTTAGCCTTCTCTCAGAAGTTGGAAATAAGCATTCTAGCTTCTTACCAGGCCTGGAAGAGTCTGAAGAACCCCAGGTTCTCTGGGCC